ATTATTATTATTATTATTATTATTATTATTATTATTATTATTATTATTATTATTATTATTATTATTATTATTATTATTATTATTATTATTATTATAAAAACGCGGGCGGCAAAATTGCATCAGGAAATGGCGGTCGTTGTTCTAGGTTAAGCGTCCTCGCTTTGTCCGTTACGCTACGCCTGATCGGGCCGCTGCTCTGTTTTATATAAACTCGACCGTAGGCCGCCCGTCCTGCTCGATTCCCTCTCTTCTTCAACCACCCCCCATCGCTCCTGATCTTCCCTACTATTTCCCGTTTCTATTATCCAGACATTGTGCATAGTCGTGCCCTAACTACACAGCCCCGCGGATATGCCGCTGCACCCGCCCGTCTTTTCTGCTGGACTGACATTGTTTATTGCGCCTGAGCGCTGCCTGGTACGGCTGCCCTGACCTGCTTCTCCAATCTATCTTATCTCATACTAACTGTACCGGTAGACACGACACGTCGACTACAGATCTGTACCTCGCTTTCAGCTTCCATAGCAATGGTCTCATGGTAATGCAGCGGTGCTCCCTCTCCCTGTTCCCACTCGACACGGAGACCAGATATCTGGCTAGACGTAACGACGCCCGAGATTACGCGCACATCGAGCTCAGACTAGGCGTCCGCGACCAAACCTAGCTAAATCCCTCACGTGCATCGAACTGTATCGGTCCTACATTTGGACGCCGCACGAATGGCCTCGGCCCCAAACCCCCTCGGAACACTGCAGTGCGCCCCCAAGTCATCTCCTGGTCAGTACTGTCCTTCTCGAGCAGTGTGAAGGGAGCTCATTGCACTTGCCGTGTGCATCGGCGCTGTGATTCAGGCCTCTCGCGCTTTCCATTGGGCCTGCCCCGTGGCTGTGCAATAGGAAGCTATAGGACAACGTGGCCACGACTCCTGAGAAGGGGCTGGCGTACCTCTCATCTGTCCTCTATGTTTCAGGCAGCCCGGTGACTGTAACGCTGCACTGCAACGAGCATGAGGCGCGACAGTGAAGGCACTGCAGGAGGCACGCTTATGCTAGCACTGTTCCATGATTGTGGCCGTCCCCAACACCGGCACGAACTACATTTGAAAAGTCATGTAGCTCCCAAGATAGCAATCATTAAGGACTTGTTGGTGGCGTGTGATATAATCACGTCTAGATGCGGCGTTGCTGGTATACTGAAAGCTGGACTCGTGCCGGACATACATGCAGGCATGGAGTCTGTCTCGTGTGTCGCATAATCGTCAAGGGGCTTTCCTAGCAAAGTATCGCTGTCTGGTTTCCTCAGCTGATATGCGACTGAAACCCCGCTAAAGATCCAAGAGAGCAGATTGGGAATGCTTGCTCGCTCGATGTGATGGATCTATTGGCTAGCAATGCAGTATTGCCTCTACATGACACGGCTTCCGGACCGGCGCGTGAGAAGCATCCCTCCAGAGTCCGCCTGTCGACACAGCCACTTCCAATAGTCTGCGGCATTAATGGCATCAATTTAGGGCATCGCGATCGACACGCCGATTTGCGTTCTTAGGTGGAAGCGATGTGGTAACGTATCGTTGCATTGTCCACGCTTCTGTTCTGGACGGGCCTTGAGGGAGTCAATCACAGGGCGGCAGTATCGTCTGGCGAGCATTTAAGAACCGCAAGGTCCCCTTCAGTATACCGAGCATTTCCTTCTAACATGGCTAACTCGGGTATATTCAATGCGTCCTCGTCTAACCCTTATTCTTTCCAATTCGTACCTTACTCTGGACCACCTTCAGCCAAGCCGCGAAAGGTAGCAATGACGCGTGACAATAATAATCCTACACGCAGAGCCCGATCCGTCATTAGTCCTGCATCCGGCCATGCCGTGTCCCCATTGCAAGGATCGGTCCATGTGGGCGAAGTGGCGTCGCAGTCGGTCACTGGCGTTTTCGATTCCTTGCAGTCCGGTACAGTGTGCTTCACATTTGAAGGAAGCGTCGAAAGCGATACAGTGCACACGACTCAATATGGCCTTCAGGCTAACGCTTCTCGTAGATCCTGTGCACAGAAATCATGACCCACCCGAACCTCCATCAAGCCCAATACATCCAGAGCAGAAGGGGGCGGTCGAGGCTTCTGATACATATGAACCTGATAGCGGCCATGGTATGTATCATAATCCGTCAAACTTTCATGATTTCATTGACTGTAGCAGTTGCTCCTTACAGTGGAAATTGCGTCACGGAACAGCAGTTACACCATGAAGATGAGTGGGTAGATGAAGCAACCCGTACCGAAAACGAGTCTTGCCAGCACGTGAGCGAAAGCCCTGGTCATACGGCCCTCCCCAGAACTGGCGATAGCCCAGGTGAGTCTTAGTTGCGCCCTCTGTCAAAGGTGCCTAACACTACACTAGATTATCCAATCTCCATTGGATCCATTAAATCAGACGACTCTCTGTCTCCAGTGGAGGTATTGCTTAAACGGCGACGAAGACATGGACACAGCGTAAGCGTCAGCTCCGATGTGAGTGGTATCAACAATTTCCCCACGGATCGCGACCTGGCTGGCAGTTCGACAGTAGAGAATAGAGAGCCGAAACGCCTGGCGTCTAACACGGACAATCGAGCGTCGTCTTCTGACTATACCAAATCGCCCGATCTGACGTGCATTTCTCCACGCCCGGGCGAGACAGCTATTGTGGAGAGTGATGGTTGTGGATATTTTCAGAGTGAAGTCAACCCAATAGCGTCAAAAGTCGGGAAGGCAGTAGTAGGGGGCGTGAATGTCATACCCGAGACACAAGAAGTGCAAGAGGACGATCCGAAGAGCTGTCGCTGGCACATCCACGAGACCAACAAACATCTCTACGCGAGTGCTTCAGTGGCAAGGCATACGAAGCGAGTCCGTCAAACGAGCGAAGAGCCTGGAGTTCGTCCCAAAAAATGTCATCGACCACTAGCACCATTGCCTACAACAAGCTCGCAGCCGACCCCTGGATGTCGGCAACAAGCAGCTTCTCAGCTACATCTGCAACACACAGCTGGCTGTAAGGCTATGGAGGAAGAGATTCCAAAGGCCACCGTTACGCGACTTGCTAGGGATTCGAATGTGAATTCGATCTTAGCCATCACCCATACTCGCCATCGCCTTGACGGGACCCTCTATATCTCAGCCATAATGCGTGCAGACCGGATTATGGGGTCATGGGACAGGGTCAAGGCCAGCTTGGCGGCCGCAGCATCAGTGGCAGATCCTAGCACCCTTACGGTCACGGTCACGGACTGTGAACCGGACGATTCTCTCGGAGAATGGCCAGACTTGGTCCTGGTCACTGCTAAACGGGGAGGAACGCAGTGCTCTGTGCAGGACTGGACAGGGGACCTGGTCGGTAAAGAGAGCGACCAGGACAGCGATTCTGAATCAGATTGCTCGTCCAAAGGATCTCAGTATGTGCCCAATCAGCCGCGACGCACCCATGAGCGATGGAAACCAGAGGATGATGCGGTGCTCAAGACATGGTCGGGAAAACGGGGTGATATCACCAGAATTCAAAACTCACTCGGATCAAAGCGTTCCTTGGGCGCAATCCAGATCCGCATTCACAAAATGAATAAGTCTTGGCAAAAGGGTGCCAAAAGAGATGAAGATGTCTAGCAACGCGCAAGGAACTCGACCTTTCGCTATAGTCAATACTGTGACACCATTCGCAGCGGCTTAAGAACTCTGTATGTAATGCTGCGCAGCCGAGTACGTTGCTGGCGAAGTGGTCTTGTATAACGACATTCTTCTTGCTTTGACCCACAAGTCTCAAATCTATGCCGGCCTGGAAGAAATTTAGTTATGTCGCATGTATCTGGCTATCCCCGCTTCGCAGAGAGCTGAAGAAGCTTAATTTAGCTTCCAGAGGGTTATCCTATAGTAATCTTCTCTTTCCATTTGAACACTACTTAGAATAACTATTATAAGGGCGAGATGTAAACCTTCACTAAGCTTAATAACATACTATGTAGTAAATATAGCATAGGAAAATCATTACAAGGGGAAGACGCTACCTTCTTGCCCAGAGGCGGGTTCCTGTAAGCCAACTATTGTAGAGAATTGTAGCGATTGCGGGATTGCGGATTATTATTATAGGTTTATTACTGCATGCATTGTAGAAACCCATGTCTGCTCATGCCTTACTTTCTAGGCTAAGACCACTTCACGGAATGGGTCGTCCCATTTGTTTTAGTTATGCTTCTTACGAGTAATCGATAGGTTTGCTTTTACTACTACCGTCCTGCCTTTAGGGAGAGTAAAATTAGAGTTGTTTGTCCTAAGAAGAGTAGTTTATCGTTACCGCAATTTGATCGTCGAAAGTTAAGGTAGGTAAGACAGAGCAGGCTGTAGCACTACGCAGGCTATAGCACTACGCAGGCTGTCGGCCGGCATTTTTCCGTGACCATAAGCAATATGGAGGGTAGCAACGCGAACAGCATAACTTAGCTATAAAATGCCGTCCGAGAGGCAGGGCTGTAGCACTACGCAGGCTGTAGCACTACGTAGGCTGTAGCACTACGCAGGCTGTAGCACTACGCAGGCTGTAGCACTACGCATAGCACTATACGCAGGCTGTAGCACTATACGCAGGCTGTAGCACTATACGTAGGCTGTAGCACTATACGCAGGCTGTAGCACTATACGCAGGGTAGCACTACGCAGGCTGTAGCACTACGTAGGCTGTAGCATTACGCAGGCTGTAGCACTATACGCAGGGTAGCACTACGCAGGCTGTAGCACTACGTAGGCTGTAGCATTACGCAGGCTGTAGCACTACGCAGGCTGTAGCACTATACGCAGGTTGTAGTACTACAGGGGTGTTTGAAACCTCAGGTGAAGGTCATTTTTTGACCTTTTTTGACCTTTTTTGACCTTTTTTGACCTTTTTGACCTCCAATCCACCGAGTGTTTGAAATCGTATCCCACCTCCAGCTTAAAACCCGAGCTGATGATCAGGGTATACACACTAAGCGGCACTAAGAGAACCGGTCGACGGGGTGGCTTAATCTAACTATTTAGAGTATACTCGGAGGTCAAAATCGACATTTTTCGACCTTTTTCGAGGAGCAAGTATTTTTCGCATGTGGAAAAACTCGAATCTATTCGTTTTCGCCAAAACTTCGGTAAAACTAAGAAAAACTAAGAGAAACTAAGGATTTAGTATAGCTGGACGCCGTCTCAACGCTTAAAAATAAGGTTATTCTAGAGGTCAAAAATCGACCTGAGGTTTCAAACACCCCCTACGTAGTTAGGCTATACCCGTCCCACGCACTTCGGAGTTGTAACCTCCGAATAGTACGTAAGTCCTTCCTGTGACTAAAGGAGGGGGTCAGAATTCCGGCCTTTCACTACGAAAGCGAGGCTGCCAAGAACTTACTGAGCTTCCTGCGCGCCCTGTTGCTCTCATCACTGCAAGGGTTAAGCAACTCTACTCGACGGATCGAAGCAGCAGCCGTGTCCGTCTCAGTTCATCCTGTCTCCGGGACTCGCGCCACTCGCGCCTTCTAGGTCCGCTGGCCATGCCTGTATAGTGTATGTCTCCTAAGCGCTCATTGAGGAGGCTTGTAATAGTCCTGTCATGTAGATCTTATCCCCAGAGTTGCAATGCTGCAATCCGAATCCATTCAAGCTCAATCTGAGCTTAAATTTTGATAGGGGATACAACCTCAACCTAGGAGTCAAAAATGATTGCCAAGATGGTACAATCTTCATCCGATTGGTCAGATTGCATATGTGGATTGAATAAAGTGGGACATACATCTAAATATAACCTAGGGCCTTATTTTAGCTAGATTTAGGTATTATGAGAGCCTTAGGTAGGTAGCCTTGGGTAAATTAATCGTAGCCTTAGGCAGATGTATAGTAGCCTTAGCCAGATAGATATAGATCTACCTAATATATGCCCCACTTTATTCAATCCACATATGCAATTTCAATCCCTTGGCATAGATTCCAAGCTCAATCTATACTTTTAGGGTGACTAATCATACAATTCTAATCTAGGACCTCAAATTGTATCCGAATGTAGATGGTCATGTCTGCAATAGAGTAGTACATTGATGTAAGAATAATCATAGCATATATCCTAAGCAAGCTTTCGAATTCCAAATTCGAATTACTTTGTAACCTAATCTTCGAGCCTAGTCTCTGGTCCCGCCCCGTCTCCTGCTTCTTTATCTCATCGTTACAACTTTGGGAAGTGACGAGCGGGAAGGGGTGGCACTGTTTGCAAAGTCTGCACATCACCCATCACGCAGTTATATTTCCTCTCATGCTATCACAGGACCAACAAGCAACGAAGCAGTATCCAGGCTCTATAGCTAACTATGCGTTCTAGCTGCATATATCTACGACACTACTTCCAAGATGCGGCTTGGAGCTCCAGATCAGAGCTGCCAGTCTCTAATACACGACTTGAATTCTTTTCACTTTTCACTTTTCACTCCTCAACTTTTGTTCCTGGTGCAAGACCCTCTCATCTTTGCAGCTATCCGCATAATGTTCTACGATCATGCCGCCGCACGGCATGTCTCATACCAGGAAAGGCTGACAAGCTTTTGCCTCAATTGGAGATTAGCGAGCCCACGCTGGTATCTATGCTCCGAACAGCGCGGTATGCTGCCTTTCATCCGCAAAAGAATCCATAGTGATCCACAATCTGACACACCAACTTTAGGAAGACGCACAGCTTGGTCGGGTCTTATAATCATCGGTTGACTTTTATTCTCATGTCGTTTCTGGTATGATAGCAACTATATCAAAAATGCTGAGCATGAAGCCACCGAGTTCGCTCTGAAATATCTTGAATATAGCCTGTCAAACAACTTGGAGATGTGGGCCATGGCAAGGGAGGGTGGAAATAGGTGCGTGGGACGGGTAGGCCATGATTTAGAGTAATTGGAACGAGATTGGACCGTAGTGTGACGGATTCGATGAAGCTTGGCCCGAAAAACCAGTTCTAGCGTTGGTCATCGCAGAGGCGGTTCAGAATCTTAGTAGGATATAGCAGAACATCTTACAGTGTCTGTCTGTTTGCGCGCACATAGCTGCCGTACAACGTCTGCAAGAAATTTTGAACTTAATATATCTTGATAAAGCATAGTGTTCGATTCAAGTAGGAGATGATGCTGTTCAATTCGAGAGCTTGTTGATGCGAGACGTTGCAAGTATTGTCGAGTGGCTGGGCTCTGCAGGGAGCCCGTCGATGGCTGTATATTCGGTGATGACTATTGTGATCGGGTACTTGGACTTCGTCGTCATGTTCCGCTTCGCTTGATTGACTAGATGGCTGCCATCCGCTTTGACGGACGCGCTGTGATCGTGACTTGCTCGCAGGGTGTGTTGTCCAGACGCGTTGTGACCGCGACAGCAGCTAAGCAGGTGCAAATGGGCGTTGGGGGACGCGCCACGACCTGTAGCGACTATCGCGGCTACAGGCACGCGTATTCTGATGCTTTATTTCGACTGAATTCCAAAAATTTGCGTTCTCGCTGTGTTGTGCTTTTCTACTGGAAGAGGGTTCAGGCTAAATAAATGGGACGACCCATTCCGTTCTTGATTAGTCAGCGTCCTTCCAGCAATGTCAAAACTGCGCGCGAATTGTAGAAGTCTGCGAGCATCGATAATATTCAATTTGGGCGCATTTGTGTGACCAATTTATTTGCTACCGTGTAGGCATGTGAATGGGCCTACTTCTGCACATCCATGTCATAGTCGAGCCGATTACTTCAAATGTTCAAGCATGTCGCGCACTGTGTGGCTAACGGCTGTCCTCAATACTGAGCAACGCGTTCACGAGCAAGTTCGACCGAAGTCACTGGCTGAAGTGACGCATAATTCCGCAACGCGACAGGGAACCGTTTCGTCGAGATACTGCCGAGCATTAGATGTCCAAGCATTAGATGTCCAAGCATTAGATGTCCAAGCATTAGATGTCCAAGCATTAGATGTCCAAGCATAGATGTCCAAAGGACCAAAACCTACAGATTTCGCGAATTGATTTCGAAGTGGAAGAACTATCTTGTTGTAGACTACACT